GAATATTCCTCATGTCTCCAAATTTTTACCTGGCTTTTCAACAATTGTTCTTCCATGTCTACCATTGCTGGATATCGGACAACTCTGTCCTGCACTTTCTGTTTTTCCTGTTACTGAAGGATGTTTTTCCCTTTTCTTGTATTCATTCTAGATCCTTCACCTTCCCTATCCTGTGCTCCTTCCAGATTGGAACCTTAATATTGTTCTCCACACCCTTACCAAAATCCCATTTGAACCTTTGGCTACCTGTTTCCTATACCATTTATCACTCAAGATGTATTTCCTGCTCCTTTTTGCCTGTGGTCTCATAGGTCAGATGTTTTTGTCATCAATGTATCACATTTTCTTTATCACTGTACCTATGTTCTCCTGTATCTATATTGCAGTTTTCTACCCAAGATGTCAGTGACTTATGAAAGCAAAGTTTCCTTTACACTGATTTCTCTACTTTTCATTTCCAGGTTGTATTCACATTCTGATTGGTATAGTTTTCTGTGTCCTGTGGATACTTTCTTCCATGGTTCTCGTTCATTCTTGTTTATTTATCCATTGGAACCATTCCTTTCAAAGAGATATTTCACCCACCACCCTGACAAGTTGATTTTGCCAATTTATCAAACTGGCTTATTCTTTCTTATCTCCCAAATCCCAACATTTTTCTGGTTGTCACCTCATCAGATTTGACATCTTACATTTTCCCTGGCTGCTCATCTATGTCATCCCTTAGAAGAAATTATCCAGGCTAGCATGTTGACTGTACCCAACACCTTCATCTCCCATTATCTCCATCATGTGGACATTTCTTCGTCATCTGGATATCAAATTCTGCCTGTAGCCATACTACACACTCTGATTCAATTATTAGTTGCTAAGTTTCTTTATCATTTATTTCTTTTCCTTTACCAGATCACACCCCTTTTCTATATTGGATCCTGCTCAGTGGCAAGGGAAACCTCCAGCATACCATTTCCTGCAGGATTGATTCCTGTGAGGTCTGGTATGGGAAGAACTGAATCAGCTATCAAATCTGCAATGTACAGCTTTTCACAAAAATAATAACGAACTAGGGAAACACCGTCATACCAACTTCTGCAGGTTGATTCCTGGGAGACCTGGTATGTAAAGGAGCTGGATCAGTTGAGATGTATTATGTTGGTTGGGCTGAATGAACCAACATAACTATTTCAAAAAGGCCTATAATGTCCACTGTTCAGATGTGGTGTTCCACAAGATTGCTAGTAGGTTCACCTGATGGTATATTGCACTATAAATATGTCTTTCCCAGACCACACTGATGACTTTTCTCAGGAGGTCTGGTTTTGGAAAGGAGGTGGACCAACATAAGTCCTCACACATGTAGTGGTAGGGAGCCCTCTTTCTACTGTGGACAATAGGATTAGATAGACTATTTGGCTAGGGAACCCCCCCATCCTGCCATCTCCTGCAGGTCGGTTCTCGTTTGACCTGGTTTTGGAAAGGAGCTGGATCAGCCAGTAGATATTCTGGTCTGTTTCCTGGAGGTTTGGTTTTGGAAAAGAGTGTGACTAGCCACCAAAGCAAGACTGTCTGGTTTTGGATTTGAATGAACCACCACATTGCACTTCCCCTTCCTACAGACACTTGAATGTTGTGTTCACGAGACACTGGTGCTGGTTGTGCATCTTCACATATGTCATGACTAGAAAGGCAGAATGGAACAGTTTTCCCTTGTCTTCAGGTGAAAAAGGGTAGGAACCCTTGTCCTATTGTAGACCAGACAATAAATACCAGATGTCACCTGGTTTTGGGCTGGAGTTGGCCCAGTGATTACTGTCTGATACACCCTAGCCATTCTACACTATAGGGCACATCCATCTATATATTAAAGAAACTAACCAGCTGCTGAACCCCCATCTTAACATCTCCTGAAAGTTCGTTCCCGGGAAGTCTGGTTTTGCAAAGGAACTTGGCCAGCTAACATAACTACAATGATGGTTGTGCTCATCTTTCCACCCAAATTAGTGACACATACCTCTACAATGGATAAAGAGTATACCTGGCATTCTTTGCACGCTTTCCAAAGAGTGCTCATCTAGATAAATTTTGCACTTGTCCCTCCACTAGGTCAATGTGGGATTTTAGACTTTATGTGAGAGGAGGTAAGATATTGTGTCAGAAGTTAATATTTTCTTCCACTAAAAATATATTTCTGTTAGATAATTACTTCCACTCACTCTTCCACCCCACTTCTGGTGCTTCTTTTCTGTCTAATCTTGAGGTGAAGTTTGGGTTCTACAGTAAAGAGGGAGACAGATGCCACAGGAGTATGTGATGCACTTCTATTGGTGGAGAGTTGATGCATTCTTATTTACACACTTCAATGCAGTTGAAACATGAGATAGGTGGGATTTTCAAGGTTAATGGTAAGTGAAAAAGAAATTGTGCATATAGAGAGCAGCACTGAACAAGAAAAACTATTATGTGAGAAGAGGTATCTATTAGAAATATATTTTCAGTATAGGAAAATATTAACTTTTGATAAATTTTCAACATAGGAAGATTCCTTATAGAAAGAGAAAAGATGGCTGGAAGTAAAAAGAAAAAAAAAACAAGGTTGTCTCACAAAGGATAAAATTAAAGAAATGCATTATTTAATTTGACTGCTACAATTGGAGATTTAGAGAATCATATCAGATCAAAGGAATTGGTTAAATTGGAAATTAGGAAATTAAAAACTAAGTAAAAAAAAGGTTGGCTAAAAATTTAAAAATTAATAGAAAGTAGATTTTTAAGTAGTCTATAAGAGAAAAATGTTAGGATGGGAGTTGGATGTTTGAAAAATGATATAGGAAAGTTTACATTATGAGATGGCTGGGTTATTAATTTCTACTTTTTATTATACATGTAATAATGAAGATTTAAGCAATATTCCTCACATGAACAGTTGCTAGATGGAAATAGGATTGAACAAGATGATCACATCAATGATAAAGCTCCTGGGCCAGATAATATTTCCTCTAGGGTTTTGAAGAAGGTTAAGGATTAGATATGCGAGTTATTTGCTATTATTTTTTGTAAGTTCTTGAATAGTGAACAGGTGCCAGATGATTAGAAGTTGGTTCATGTTATTCCTCTTTTCATGGGAAATGATACAAATTGTTCTAGTAATTTTAAGACTATTACCCTTACATTTCTGAAAGTGATAAATGGTGTTTTGTAAAACCATTTAACAAAGTTTAAAAATTTTGTTGGATAGCGTGGTTTCACTAGAGAAAAACCTTGCCTTACATTCCGATATTTTTTGAAAAGGTTACTGTTTGTGAAACATTTGTTAAGGTGCCACATAAAAAGCTTCTTAAAAAGTTATCTCTATGGGTGTGGGTTGTGGCTTATTGAATAGAAAACTGGCTCTATGGAGAAAGTAAAGAGTTGTTTATAAATTCAGTTCAGTTGAACTGGCATAATGTTACAAGTAGGGTTCCTCAGAGTTCAGTGTTAGGACCTTCGCTTGTTTTGATTTACATCAATGATATAAATGAAGGAATGGTCAATGACTTATTTAAACTTGCTGATGATTTTAAAGTTTTGAGTGTTTCTGGCTTGGAAGAGAATGCTGCTGCTTTACAAAAAGATTTGGATTATTTTGGTGAGTTGGGTGAATAAATGGCAGGTAGCTTTTAATTATAAAAAATGCAAGGTAATACATGTGGGATGTCATAATTTGAATTATGAATATAATAATTGTGATTATACACTACAAGTCTAAAGAGATTATAATTTCTTTGTATAGATTGTTTAAACTACGTTTGAAATAGTGAGTTCAGTCTTGGACTCCTTACATTAGGACTTGTTGGAAGGGGCTCGTAGTAGGGCTACTAGGAATTTACCTGGAATGGGAAGGTTGTCATATGAAGACAGGTTAAGATCACAGAAATTGTTTTCTCTTGAAAAAACAAAAAAGAGTTAGAATGGATCTGACTGAGGTGTTTTTAGATTGTTAAGAGAATTTATAATGTTGATGCATCATCTTCTTTTTTTTGTACTTGATGGTGAGAATGGTACAACTTGGGGACACAAATGCAACTTTTGGCAGGGTAGGAGTCATCTTCAGCTAAGAGAGCTTTATTTTTCAAACAGAGTGGTTGGCCTTTCAAATGAGTTGCCTTGATATGCAGTTAACTTAATGGAAATTAGGGGAAGGCTTGATACAAATTTGAATGAAAGTGGTTCTCTTTGAGTGCTTTATTTTTATTTTAAAGTATAGTTTAGTGGATGGGATGGCCTAGAAGGACCAACAGGCCTTGTTTTATATATATATATATTTATATAAATTATCAAATAGCAAAAATACATGCACTAGAACAATTGTTTTTTAAGTTAGTGTTGATAAAATATACAGTCCAACTGTTTCTTATGGAGAAAATTTGGAATTTGTGAACTCTTGTAAATGCTATTTAACTGTGTGTGTTGTATGCTTAGATACAGTTTTATGAATTTTAAGACTGTGTATATAGCAGTTATAAATATGTTCCATGTAAAATGCCCCGTATTATTAAGTTGCTGTCTTGTAGATGACAATACATATTTATCCACACTTTTTAAATAAAACCTCCCATTATAAGAATAAGGATATTTCCAAAAAATTACACTTATGATTGACTCAATTTATCAATGACATTTAAATAATGTTTTTTGATATCAGCTGATGTTTTGGTAAAAAACTATTATAGCTTATTGCTTTCATTTGAGTTGTGTAACATGGATTCTTAAATGTTATACTCTGAAACAATACTAATAGATGTTACTGAGAAAACAGTTGTTCTTTTGAAAACAGATTTGTCAAATGTTTAATGATGCACTAACATTTGACAACTGATTATGTAACAAGGACCTTCTGACTTATTCCTTTGCTAAAGTTCACTGTGAGTTCATAGCTTTATGAAATAATTCAGCTTGTAAAGTAAATTGCTGGAAAATGTGTTATTACTATTATTTTATACAAAAGTTGGAACTTTTTATAGCTTTTGATTGTGGGACCCACAGACGTAGGGAAGAGTACTTTATGTAGGATTCTTCTGAATTATGCTGTTCGTCAAGGGAGGAGACCCATTTTTGTAGATTTAGATGTTGGCCAGGTATGTGTTTCATTAGTTAATTAGAATAAGCAGTTATGTTACCTGTCCATTTCAATTTTGTTGAATTTTCTTTTTACAGATAATTCCATGGTATATTCAAGTAAAACTGAGTTAACCTTCAAGCAATGGCATTGGTCTGTTTGATTATGAAGTAATGCTAACCTAAATCTCTGATTAACTAATTTTGATGTTGAGCAGAATAATAAGGTTGGACACAAAATGAAATACAAATACAATAAATATCAACACAAATACAGTGTGCTTGCTTTTTATGGAATGACTGACCATTGTTTTTACTGGATTCTGATTTTAAGCTCCTGCTGCTTCAAGATCATGTTCCAGACTGACTAAATCCATTAATAAGGCCATAATTTCAAGGTATCATTGACCATTGAAGGACTTTCCTCTCAATGTCTTTTCACAACACACAGTATTCCCTCTCTCACATGCAAGAAAGTTATTATGTGCTAGAGAACAACAAAAGTAGCTTGAACAAAATCAACTAATGACTTTCACAACCATATTTTATATGAAACCTGTAATTATACAGAAGAAATCATAAATTCAAAATAAATTCAGTAATATTATAAGACAGATACACATATATGTATTCATATTCCAGACTTTTCTCTCTTCCATACTTCCAACTTTAAAACCAATATATTTTAACTTGCTCTCTGATCATATCACCTCTGAAAACACAGATGTTACAACTCTTAAACAATTAAAGCCATTTATGTAATAAAAATTTTGCTATAAAAATACCCTTTCACAAAGAGTGCGCTATGCCTATGGCAGTTATTTTGATTTAAAGTTAATAGTTTAGAGAAATAATCTATTAATTACCAATGGTGTTCAAAGATTAGCAATACTCCTTCACCCTAATTGGGCCAAGTGGGTGAAAAAATGAAATAAAAGTAGAAAAAAAATATATATGTATAAGCAGAGGCAGGTTGTATATATTATGGAATGCATATAACCTTTTATCTCACAAAACTCATTAATAGGTTACAGTGAAATATCTTTGTATAAAGAAATATATGATTTAAAAGAAACCCTTTATCAAAGAGAAAATAACCTTGCAATATAACACAAGTAATTTCACTTCAATGTTAATGAACATACTGAAATAAAGAAAACCCTTTCGTTGTGCAAAATGTTCACTATGTAATTGAAAATGAAAATATGGTAATATTATAAAGGAAACCTTCAGCAATTTAATAAACCATAATACCAAAACTAACCCATAAATAATGAAATAATACAAAAAATTAGAAATAACACATAATATCAAAATAAACCCTTTAAAAATTTTACAAGTATATTTAAAAATAATTCTTAGAAAACACACTAAATAATCTAAATACAAAATAAATTTGCTATAACAAGTTAAAAAAAAAGGTACTATTACTGTTGAATGAAGTAATCAAAACACATTCATAAACTAAAAAATAAAAATAGATTAAAACATTATGTGATAACCCTTGTCAATAAAACATCTATGCAGTGCACTAACCAAAATAATACATAAAAAATTACATGTCTACATACAACACTGAATAAATAAGATACCTCAATAATAAAACTCTCTCTCCAAAACAATCCTTTTGTCCACCAGCTCAGCTTGCAAGAGGTGGACTTCTTTTTTGATCCATGATGGAGATATTGACTCCACTCCAACAATCTTTCTGCCATCTCTTAACAATGCTGCTTTTATAAGTAATTTTTTGGAGAGTAGAGCAATTGGATCCCTGGTATTGTTAGTAGTGTCATCCATAACTGCTCTAGGGTCAATTATCAGGGCCTATTCATCTGTAGGAGTCCAGCCTCCTACAGAGATAGAGGCTTCTCACTTGGTCTTGGCCATTTTCTGTGGAGCCATTAAGGTAATTGCAACCTCGTTTACCATGCAGGCCATTGTCAGTGATGGCATTGGTGCAGGCTTTAAGGCCCTCTTAGTCTGCTAGCTATGGTCATTTAACATGGTGGTTATTGTTTGCTGAAATTGCTGATTTAAGTAATGATGGTGCTAGTTGAGCATTACTCTGGTTTTCCTTCTCTCCCCAACACTCAAAGGTGACCTAAGTGCCTTATCTCTAGGAAGATCTTCCATAAATTCTGGACTTGTGATCTGGATAGAGATTAACTCTTATTTGGTGCTTATGCCTTGCATTGTTACACATTGTCCAATGGGGATCTTTAAGGAGAGGTTCCAAATGATGAGATTTCCATTGTTTCTCCTTTCTTAATGGCTGTTTCAGGTTCTGCTTGTCTACCACAATAGTGGTAACTTGCTATGTCATCTTCTTGACTACTCCGGATTCTCTATCTAGTGAAGGCTTTGGTCCCACTAAGTGTAGCTGCCAGACTCCAGCAGACCTCGGAACCAGCCAGATAACTGACTTGGCACATTAGATGTGTTTACCAGTAAAGAATCTTCGTCCATAGGTTCTCCTGGTTAGATGTCAGGCTGTTCCCAGGTGTCTTTGGGTTGGTGGGGAAGTCCATCTTCTTGCCATACAGAAAGCCCTGAATGTTCTTACTCATAGTCAACAAAAAGGTTTTACATGGCATCATCTACTGGAAGTTACATATCTTAGTTCCTTCTAAAAACTACCTTTAGGGTCTGAGTATTCAAAAGATTACCTTGGTCTTGTGACATTTCTGAACTTCTTGATACACAGGCTGTATTATATCACTGCTTCACAAATACCTTATTAGCTGTGCTGCCCTCTGTTGCCATTTTCATGAAAATGGGCAGCATACTTACCCTTTGACCTAGATCCATTCCTTCCACTACTGTCTGATTGTTATATAAACAATGAATGGCTCTGGTAGGAAAGGAAAGGTGTTGAGACTAAAACTGGATTCTAAACACATGAGCTTACTTGGGTCATATGATGTCACATTTTGTACTAGCCTTAGTACAAATTTACTAGTGCACTTAATGCATGCATTTTCATGCATCTTATATTGCTCCTTGTACTTAAACAATCTTAAGAAAATATTTAGAAAACTGCTTTACTAAATACCCTAGTTTGCATAATTGAAAATAGTCTATGACAGTCAAATAAAACACTTGGTACACCAAGTTTATTTGTTGTGGTATTTAAGCTAGCATCAGAGAATTTCATATACTACTCATAAATATTTTAATGTGATCCAATAAGAATATCATGCTATGCTCTCACCAAAGAACTACAATTAAAACTCAGGTATAGTACGAGTTTTTCTGAGACAATACCACACCTGTTCACATTGTTAAACTATCTTCCACACATGTCTGCCTTAGAGATTTGCATGCCACTAGCCCTTAGCCAACTCCCACCTAAACTCAAAAGATTTCTTGTGAATTGTGCTACTGTATTATGCAGCAGATGCCTTTCACCGATAGGAGGGTGACACACCTTCTTGCACACTTATTCCCTCTATGCATTTGCATTCATGAATCTTCATTTTCTTTGCCTTTCCATTGAACACATCAGATGTTTTTCTTTTTAAATTTAACAAGAACTGAGAAGATTTTTATACAAACTATGAACTCAGAAATTCATGTAACATCTTCTACTACTAGTGTGAGTGAACAATTTCCTTACACAAGTAATTTATCAACTGTGGTTTATGGAGACATATTGAATGAGGACGACATGATAAGCATTGTGCATAGTGTAGTGGGTTCCTTTATGCAGCTAGGACCTTCAGCTCCTATCTGTTCTTCGGGTATTACTTTCCCTTGTTTTGAGGGGAGAATGATGAGGACAAGTTTGAGTGCTTGTTTTCTTCTTCTGGTTATGATTTGGGAACTTCTCTCCCAGTTGAAAAAACCTTCAAACTTTACCACAATATCAGGACATGATTTCACAGATATGTACCATTCTTTCTCTTTCCCCTGTGTCATATGATTTGTCTCATTCCTTACTTCTTAATCCTAGCTATAACTACTTTTCCTTTTACCTCTTCCTGATATTGACATTCAAGCTGTTTCTTTTCTTGAACAACTATATTCTTGCAACTTCTTTATTTATCTGATTCTGATGTCTTGGATTTCAGTCATTGATTTGCAGATTTGGAATCTTGTTTGCTTCTTTGGGGAAGTGGACTATTTGGCATTGGTTTTGCCCTCCAGTGCATAATACTTCCATTTTTGCCTGATACTTCTTATCATAATTCTTTACTTATCCTCTCTACACCTCAAATCTGAAGTACTCCACCATGCCTCAGAGGATTTTGTGGGTGATTATCATTCCCTTCTCATCACTGATATATCCTGTTCCACTTCTTGCACTTACTGCTCACTTGGCTCCTTGTTGCTGGGAATTGGTAGGCAGGGATACACTGCTTTCCCAGGTTCAACTTCTTTCTTCCTTTCTACAAAATCTTTGCCTAACCCTTCTTTACCCTGAAGTTTCTGATTTGTTTTAAGTATGGATTGAAGCTCCTTATCCTCAATCTTTGCTTTCATCCTTAGTTTCTCAAACCCAACCCTCCAACACTACCCTGATGTAATCCCCTGTTTCCCTACTTTCCTCTTCTACCTGACATCAGACTTGTTTAGCCTTTCAATGACTAATAAGTCACTTTCTCTCCAGTTTTCATTCCTTCCTTCTCTCATCCTTAATCCCATTTTCTTTTCTTCTCCATCCAATCCCATCTATCTACAACATCTCAAGGAGATGGCATTTGTCATCTCTTCCAAAATTTCCTTACAATCACTTAACATGTTGTTCACTCGGAAGTATATTTCAACTCTTTTCTAGCTGTGCTCATCCTTCTCCCATCTACCTGCAAGCTATGGAGCCATTAGTCAATGGGATTGGCACCTATCCTACTTATACTACATGAGAGGTTTTTTGCTTTTGGGGTTGGTTTCACTGAATGGTCTTTGTGTGACCAGTTTAACAACTCATGTGAATCTTTGACCTCATTAGTTTACCAGTCTACTTCTCTACTCAAGGATCTGTATTGGTTGCTGGACTGGTCCAATATCACTAGCAGTGTTC